GGAGTAGATTCGTTCCCGCATTATATTAATATCGATACTCTTTAAAAAATGCATTTTATTTTACCTAAATCTGCCGATACGTTATATGGGTGCGCCTTATTTGGGATACAAATGTGCATTATTTTGAAAACATGTATGCTATTTTTAATTGGTTCGATTTTCGAAATAACCCCCCATGATTCGCGAAAATACGGCAAAACCATTTTAACATAAAATTTTGCAAGGAACATTTTTACTTAATAAATCAAAGACACTTTCCTAAGAAAATTTTGAGTTATAACAAATTATCATATCGTATTTTCGTGAAATAACGCGCGGGGGTGTAATTTGAATTAGACCTAATGCGGTCTGTGATTAGAAATAACACGCATGGGCGTTATTTCGCAAAATATGGTATGGTGTGAGCAATTTGTTTCAATTTAAAAAATTGCTACTACTCAACGTAAAAGAATGTTCAAAAATTTGACCAATAACTTTGTTCTTTGTGTTATGTTTTACAAAGATATCGATCAAATTTTGCTTCTACGTTGAGTCGTAACTCAATTAGAAGTGTTTTTTCAATTGGGTTGCGAACGTTAGCTGAAATTCCGCAGATCGGACCACGTGTAGATGATAAATACACATATCGATATAGTTTAGAATATCGAGCACCCATACAAATGACAATATTGCAAGCTATTATATGATAATTACAGTGGGGCTCAAAAGTATTGCATCATCCGGACGATAATTTCACGATTTAATAACGTTTCATATACAACATCAATCAATATATAAATAGACTCATTTTAAAGCCTATATATGGACGAAACATCGTATCATATTTATTTTTCATATCGTACATTTAAAAAAAAATAAATCACATTTTACATCAAATCAAGCGATCCGTTTCTTTTTGATCATTTTGATAAATAAAAGTAAAATCGAAATTACTCAATAAACTAAATAAATTTATGAAAATTTAAACCCAATTTTAAATTACCACCTAGTATAGCCAGGTAAATTCTGTAAATGATATAAGAAACAGTTTTTCTAAGTCTGGAAAAAGATTTTGATAGATTCTGAATAGTTGATTTTGTTGTCTCTGTTGTGTTTTCTTCTTTCTTTTGACCCTTTGCATTAATTACATCTTGAATGCGTTCCGCCTTTCAATTAGCTTCATTAAAAATGCATTATCAATTTTGATCCAAATTTTTTGTATCGAGTATGGATACCAATTGATGACATTCTCAAATGACGATCTATTTCATTCCAGAGATGTTCAATTGGGTTAAGCTCAGGTGATTAGGCAGGCCAATCAAGCAAACGGATATCATTTATCATCAAACCATTCGAACATAGATTTTGCCGTGTGTTTCGGATCATTGTCTTGTTGAAAGACAACATCATTTTTATTAATTTTATACCACTGGATTGTTTCTAAAAGATCATCATTTAAGATTTCATGATATAAATTCTTATCCATATTACCAACGCCAAAAAATCTGAAGCAATCCCAAACCATTATATTTCCACCCCCAGTAATATTCATGTCTGTCTGAATTAAAAATTATAAATTTCAATTCATCCGACTAGATGACTTTTCTCCAATCATTAATAGTCTAATAATGATATTTTTTCACAAATTTTAAACGTTGAATTTGATGTGTTTTTTTAAGATTTGGTTTTTTTCACTTAATCCATGAAGAAAGACCATTACAATGTAAAGTTTGCTTTATTGTGCTTGTGCTAATATCAATTTTATTAATTTTTTTTGGATAGATGTTGCAGTGGGAAAACTACCATTCAAAATTAGACATATAATATTTCATTCATCACATCCAGTAAAAATTCTAGGATGATCTGGTTTTGGTAAATCTTTAAAAGGTACTATTAGTATCTTTTTTTTGCTTTATTCTTATGATGGAGGATTTTCATGATTTGCAATATAATAGGAAGAATATCCTTCTTTAAGAAGGGTATAAATTTGGGAGCCTTTTTTGATGGGAATATGTGCCATAATAATTTTAATTATACAAGATAAAAGAGTGAATTCATAAGTGTATTTTATTTATAGGAGGGTGTGTTTTGTTTTGTTGTGTATTTTTTATCCATTTATATATTTGTTTTGAGGGAGGAAATGATCAAAAGAAATGCATCATCAGTTTGGCGTAATAAAGTCCAAGTTAAGCAAAGTGGTATTACATTTATTCTTTAAATTGCATGTATTATTTATTTATGCTTTTAACTATATATGGGCTAAGTTTCATTTACCTGTGGCATCTACAGTGCTTCGCAGAAGTATCCGACCCTCCCTAACTTTTTGTAGATTATGTATAATGCACCAAATTTTTCCAAGCACAAAGAACATTACAAATGCTGATCATGATACCTTTTTATAGATTGGTAGAGCTTCTATATCAGGTATTGTATGTTCATAAATTTTCACATTCCAAATATAATAAGTTATTTCATAACACACATCTCAATATCCAATAATCTAATTTTTGACGTCCAGTGACCTGATTTGAACAAAAATATGACCATTTGATTCGTCTAGTCAAGACGAATCAAACAGTATTATTTTTGTTCAACTCAGGTCACTGGCCGTCGAAATATTGCGTCTTAAAGTAGCAGATTCATTTTTTTTGACACTAACCAAAATGAATCGGTCAATTTAGGACATAATATCTTGACCTCGATTCGAACAAAAATAATACCATTCGATTCATCTTGACTAGGGCAAATCGAATGACATTATTTTTGTTCGAATCGGATAACTGGAGGTCAAGATACTACGTCCGATTCATTTTTTTGACGAATGAAAAATTGATCGACAAATATGAATCGTTCAACGTCTAGTAATCCAATTTACCATACAATTTTGCCTAGATTAGGCAAAATTGTATGGTATTATTTCTCACTCAAATTGGATTGAGATATTATGTGATTTACTGTATTTGGGCATGAAAGTTTATGAACATATAATACCGATAATAGAATCTATAAAAGGTATCATATTCTTTGTGCTCGGAAAAATTTGGTGCATTATACATAATCTACAAAAAGTTAGGGAGGGTCGGATACTTCTGCGGTTGACTGTATATTGCTAAAAATTCCACGATTCGTTTTTTCGTTCTAGTGATGCATTACTTTTGAGCGCCACTGTATGTACCACCGCGATGAAATAATGTTCTCCAAATATTTTTAAATTAAATATTCTGGTTGATTTATGGTTATTCATTGTCGATAAGTGTAGCAGAAAAGTATGTACATTCACACCTCGTTATAGTGAACTTTCGATATAGTGAAAGATTAATAATAGACTCTAAAAACAGTATATATTAAATCCTCTCTATATAATGAATTTTTCATTAATAGTCCCGAACACCTTCACTATAACTGTATTTTCTAAAAAAAGTTGAATAGCAAGCAAAAATTCGAATCCGTGTTTTCTAAAAACATCGTTTAACTTATAACTCAGAAATTTATTTGAAATAAATAATTTCTTAATATAATTCAGAAAATCCGAAATTAGTAAAGCGTCATGTAATTAGAAGGCGGCGAATTAATATGAGTTTGAACTGCCTAAATGTTCAAGTTGAATTATATTTTATTATTTTCAAATAAGATATCGACGACTCATTAAAACTAAGCGTCCACATGCGCTTGTTAAAAGATATTAAACTGTGATTAAACTCATGATTCAAAAAAAAAATTAAATATCGTGTAAATTCGTCTGTCCAGATGATAAAGATCATAGATAACTTACGGATATACTGAATTATTATCGAAAATTATGAAGTTTTAATTCAAAAATCGATATATATGTTAATAGCAGTCCGAGATATAATTCTTTTAACTTAATATATTATGAACCCGTGTTTCGATTTAGGATTTTTTCATACTGTTTTAATACGATTTACATGTAATATGAAATTATTGTTATTTCAAAAGGTCATATGACATATGGGATTATTTATTGATGCATGTAAAAAGTAGATCAATAAGGATAAAGAAAATATGTAGTGCATGAATAGAGTTAAAGTAGGGGTTAGATTATGTTATTGAGAGATTACCTATCAATTCCCGGATGAAATCATTTCGTTATTGAATTTCTGTACATAATATATTTTGGTATTTGAGAATGATATCTTTTCCTTGTAATATAGTACAGCTTGGCTTTTAAAAATTTTTTTACTAATGAAAATCTAATTAGCGTTAATCCATGATACAACACCATACGTTAAAAGATGTAACGGGTTCGCATTTTATTTCTTATCGCATCGAATAATGCATGTGCATAAGCGTATACATGTACAAAATAAGATTCATTTTTTTAAAGTACGTATCAGAATAACGACATAACTTTCTGCACGCCACGAATACATTTATGTATGTCTATTTTATGCACACATGGATACCCTTTTTTGTACAACTTTCTTCGTCTCTATCGTTGTTCTTTGTTATTTTGTCAGCTTATCGTTCTAATTATCAGATGTTTCTAACGCAAAGTTTATCTTGTTTTTTTTATTACATTGTCAAAAATTAAAGTTCACTTCAATTGGTTTATTCGGAATTTTCCGTTGATGCTTCTATAGGAAAAGAGACTATGCACTTTTTTTTTCTTTATCATTATAATCTATTATATATGCATATGAACGATATATGCATATGAACGCAGCATGATTGACGGGCGTTAATTGAAGTTCCTTTATTGGTAACTTGTTTGTTTTCACTTATAAATTATAAAGTGAGCGGTATCATTTTGTAAAATACCGATGCTGAAATTTTTTATCTTGCCATCTAGGGATATTTTTTATATAACTGGTTAGTTTCTTGACTTTTGGGCGCAGGTGGTCTTGCTTTTTTAGTAACGGTAATATTTACATATAATTATAAAAAGAGCAGTTTTATTTTGCAAAAATCATCTTTCCAATGTGATTTAGACACAAAACGTCATAGGATTTTTTTATTTTACTGTTTTAATTATACATAAAATATATTTTGATATATCGAAAATGTCGCAACGTAGAAAATCAATAACAAGGGAACAAAACAGAGCCATTGACATTGATAGCGAAAACAGAAACGTTATTAATGAAAATAATTATAGTCAAGTCTCCATAACACATATTCCAACACCTGGTTATTTTAACGATCTTTCGTATATTGCTCCGTCTGCACCGCCGTCTCCAAGTATTTATAACTCTTTTCGTCATTATACGTATACTGGCGCTCCACATTCGAGAAATTCTATTAGGCGAACCCAGAAAGGAAAGGCGGCAAATGGATCTACCACTCAAATCAATTATTTGAGAGATGATTCTAACGCAAGGTATAGAAATTTTCATTCACAAATTATGATCTGTAATCTTTTTTATTACAGTGATAATAATACATTCTTCCATTTCAAAGCACTCCAGTCAAGCTGAAAAATGAATTAACTATTGAAAAATTCGAATCGATCGAACAACAAGCACAAGCAGAAAATGAAGCGTCAGCTCGACAATATTTGTCCACTGAACCGTCGGAAGACGACAATGAAAATCAGGAGTATGAGGGAGTTTCCCAGGTATGTCTTATTTATCAATTTTTTTATTATTCGTTATTTTTTTATGTTCAGTTGAACCCATAATTGAATTTAAAAAATCAAATAATTTAACAGTATGATATTATTTTTGATCCTATTGATCAAATTCGCATTAAAGAAGATGAAATGCGGTCACCGCTTCAGCGTAAGCTTTATTATTTCTTTGAAGTTCCGAGTTCTACATCCGCGAGAATATATGCGTTCTTTTCGGCGCTATGCGTTTTGGTGACAATAATTATCATTTGTGTGGAATCTTTGCCAACTTTCTATGAAAATGAATGGCAATATTATCGTAGGATATGGTAAGAATTTAAAATTACTATCATGTAAAGAAAAGTATATAATCCTTCCTACTAAAATTAGCCATTTTATCGAATAGGCTTCCAGTTAATCTTATTGTCGTATTGGTGTTTACTGTTGAATACATTGGAAGATTTTATGCTTCTATTGATCGGATTAAATTCATGAGGCGTAAGTAATTAATTTTTATCCATTTAACAATGTAATGTAGCTCACTAAAAATAATTCACTACTCTATAGAAATATGGAATGTCTTCGATTTAGTTACAATTATCCCCTTCTACTGTGAATTGTTGCTCCCACTTACTAGTGAGGTACTTTATCAACTATCTTCCTGTAATCGTTTTTGCATTGAAAGTAGTAAGCAAAACGACTTTTTTTTAAATTAAATTTTTTAATTTTTTTTTAGTCGGTGATTCGTTACCTTCGAATTTTTCGATTATTTAGGATCCTTAAAATTTTACAGTGGGCCAGATACACAGCTGGCTTCCATGTGAGCAGCATCTTAAATTATTTGATTCTCACTTATAACAACCCGTTAACGTAAAGTTTCCATTCTTTTCATAAAGATTATCATCCGAGTTTTCAGACGATCATTGAGACAAATCGCGTTAGTATCAATATGGGTTTTCGTGATAATTCTTACTTCGTCAGCACTTATGTATTACTTGGAGCGTGGTACTTACAATGAGAAAGATAATACATGGTACAGAACGGATCCTGATGGGGTATTAGAAGTGAGTCCCTTCCAATCAATAATTCACAGTTTCTGGTGGTCAGTAGTTACCATCACGACAACCGGTTATGGGGACACTGTTCCATATTCGGCCTGGGGTAGAGTCGTGGCGGGAGTCACAATGTTGTGTGGTGTTTTAGTGATTGCTATTCCCACTTCAATTATCGGCTCGAATTTCGTAACCGAGTGGGCATTGCATCGGCGTATTGAATTTCAAATGAGACTTCGCCGAAGCAGAGAAAGAGCTTTCGCCAAGAAAAAATTTCAGGAGGAAACAAAGGTGACGATAGAGACGCTTCAGAATGAGAATCAGACGATGTTGGAAGCACTCGCCGAAATTCAAGACCGACTTACTGATATTAATCCACCTCACTACTGGCGAAAATACAAAAATCTCCAAATAGAACATGAAAAATCTAAAAAAAAAATAGTCGAACTCGAGGAGAAAATAATTGAATTGAAGCGTATTAACAAGAATCTCGAGAATTTCAATAACCTTGTTCGAGCACGCAAAATAAGGAAAGGCAACACTATTGATGCTACACAGATGGATAGTTCTTCTCATGGAACAGAAGATCTATCAGAGTTTAATGAGCTGACCCAGAGTTCATTTAAAAAATTGATAAATCTTAAGCCTTTAAAATTTAAAAAACATGCGACGACCGATGAAATAATTCAGGATACTGAAGAGGTAAAGAATAATGGAATTGGTTCTTTAACGAAAAAAGCAGTGAAGAAAATTCGTCGGACACTTTTATCTGGAAAAAAGGATAATGATTCTTCATCCCAAGCAATATCTCAAGAAATTATAAGTTCTCCCGTTGACGTTTATCTGAATGAAAATCCACCGGTGCAAGATGATAACGTTTCAGAATTGAACCTAAGTGAAGGTGAAATGACAAACATCCATTTAGAAACTTCATCCGATTACGAGGATAATCATCAAAGTATCATGACATTCCCTGGAACTACCAAAGAATTAAAACTTGCAACCTTGGCTGCTGGGAAAGTTTCTGGTCACCCACAAAAATTGGTTCGAAAAAAGATGAGTCACTTGACAAAACTGTTCGAAAAGGAATCCAAGAATAAAAGCGATTTGGACCCTGGAGATCAAAATGCTATGACACCGGATTTGGAGAAGGGTTTAGGCGGAATTCGTACACCTATTGCAACTGAAACAGTTACGCCAACAAGACTTTCACCGTCAATTACACCAACAAGACTTTCACCATCAATTACACCAACAAGACTTTCACCGTCAATTGTACCAACACCAACAAGACTTTCACCGCCACGATTAACACTTATAGCTCAGGTGAATGTTGATGATACTAAAAACGAAAATAACGTCGAAGTGCTGGTGGAAAGTCCATCTTCAGAAGAAAATATTGAGAAAATTCAAAACGATTCGGATTTTGTTGTGAATTTCGAAAATTCAGAATTACCTCCAGATCCACAAAGTAACGTTAATAATGGCGGCTCAACGTCATACGATAACTCCAAATGAGCAAAAAATTTCTTTTTCTGATACAATTCCTATACCGATCGATTCGAATTTGCCGAATAGTCCTATTCATGCTTTGGCGCCGGATGAAGATTTAGAGAATACGCAAATTTCATCAGGAGAAAAGCAAGTCCAACTCGAAATTTGACTTTTGAAGAACCAGTTATAAGAAATGAAAGGCCATCGAGAAAAAGAGCAGGAGAAAATACTGATTCCTTCATAGAATTTATAGAAAAGCTTTAGATTTATAAATTATTCAATTAAACATTCCTAGTAAATTTCAATATTTTTCTTATATTCTTTATTTTAATTTAACTTTTCACATTACATTGTCACGGAAAATTTTTTTCGGAGGAGATAATAATGTCACCTCGGAGATTAAAGACCTTTATTCACGGAACAAAAATAGAAGGATTAGGGTTGCCCCTTGCATAAAATTACACAGACCTATTTTATTTTACAAATGATGTACTAACGAACCAAGAATTTTGATTTAAAGGAACGGCAATTCCGATATCTTTTTGTTTGAATTACTATAATGTGTCATTCAAGATAAGCGTTGATTTATTTAATATAGCATAAATACAGATCTAAAAAACCTGCGCCTTTCTATGTTTAAAAAAATGTCCTTTTGTTCACTAGTGGAAAAAATTATTTAAAAAATTCTTTTTTGGTTATGACCTGAAATGTTCATTTGAAATCTATAGAGCTTTTCTATTGAAAATATTTTTGGCGTTGTTTATTTAAAAAATTCTTGATCTAGTGTATATTAATATATAATACATCAAATGTTTAAATTCGAAATTCTTTTATAATTAGATTACTATTATTTTTAAATTAAAATTTTTGTTTAGAACTTTTAGAACAATAGAACACATTTTTCTTGATTATGCTGCTGCACAACATGAATTTTTGGTATATAAATGTCTTTCCATTTACATTTTTTCCTTTGAATTTATTTTCCAGAAACGGTCCGAGATAAAGCATATACGCCAAAAAACTAGACTTAGAATATCACACAGCCAAATCCTTTTTAATTTTAATATAATCCCCTGCTACTTTTAGAATAAATAAAATGAACCAAGCCAAGAAGTCACGCGTACACGCGCACCTCGATGTTAAAAATTCATAGTGAATATGCCTTATCAGATATTTAACTGTTCTACTGTTCTATCATATGCATTAATATATTTCAACTTTACGAATAGAAACATAACAATAGACCATGCGGTCTTTTCGTTTCTTATTTGTAATCTTCCAAATTTTTTGAAGAAATTAAATACACAAAGAAATATCATCAAGAGACCCTAGAATCGCATAATCTTTCTGCATATAGTATTTTATCAATAAGGATTAATAATATTTATGCAATGCAATCTTTTATTTCTGGAATTCGTCCCGTATTTCCTCAAAATAACGCCAGAATCTATTCGTACTGAGAGGCTGTTAGACTTCATTTATAATATAAATAATTAAAGGTCATACACTACATGTACATGTAGTGTTATATATACAGTATATCTTAGTTTGTATATCATTTTGAACGAAAATCCCATATTCGTATTACGAATAAAATTCATTAAAAATCGAAAAAAATCGACAATATATATTTTAGGATAATAATACTATAAAATCTCTCACTTCTGAAACATTGGGCTTAAGTTCGAATTCACTTTGTGTATATATATAAACACAGACTCACTATTCCAATTGTCAAAGACTGGTTCTTTAATGTTTATCCTTAGATTTTATTTTTATCTTTATTTAATCCTCATCCTCATCCTCATCCTCAACCTCAACCTCATTTTTATTTTTATTTTACTTTTTTGACTTTAATTTGATTTACACATGGCAAATCACAATTTCTATAACATAGTAAATGCAAGCGTTGAACCTCTAATGGTAATTCTTTCAACAATAAACCGTGTAAGCAAAATAGAAGTCTGCAGACACGAGCTTTCATTGGAGAAATTACAAGAAAAAGAATTGATTGTTCAGCGCAAAAATAAAGATCGAAAGCCAGTCAACCCATCTTTTTTATATAGAATGACTTGTGCAAAATCTAAAAAGATAAATAGTCGTGATTGGTGCTGTGATAAACAAGATTGCATTTTAAATACAAACAGTACATCAACAATATTGAAAAACACTTGGTCAAAACTCCCCGAAGACTTCCGAAAAGTTTTCAAAGAACTTTATAAAACTCTAAAGGAAGAACGTTCGAGACCACAGGCGGACTATGTATTTATATCTGAAGATCCAATATTAAGAAGTACATTCAATTCGCAAGATTGGACTCTTATTGACGATTACACTACTGCTCCTACAAATTATTTGGGCGACTTGAGTTCTCACAGTAACTCACCTAATATTATCGCAACTACAAATGATTTGGGTGGCGTATCCTTTAGTTTAGATGATCCGCAGGCGGCTCTCAATTTCTCAAATATCGACTTGATCCAGGGTGACGTTTCCACTAATTTGAATAGTCCACATCCATTTATCAATTCGTCCTCTTATGGTAATTCAAATACCATCGTAACTACAGGTACAAGCAATAATTTGTCAATTGGTCCAGGTAGCGCACCATTTAATCCAGATGATCCACAGTCGGTTCTCAGCCTGCAAGATAGTGATTTGTTAATTGACCCGCGTCATGTGTCCTCTAATTTAAATCTACAGTCGGTCATCAATTTGCAAAATTCGTCGAATATTGCCGCGAATATGCAAATGTACAATAATCATTCGTCGTATCATTCGATTGATTTAGATGATTTTCAGACGACTTTCAATTTGCAAAATGTCGACTCGACCTCTCACGGTAGCTCGTTTAATACGTTTATTGACGCATCCTTTAATATTCTACAATCATCACCCAATTTGCAATATAACGATAGCGATTTGTTCCCTTACATTAATTCTCCTAATACCCTACCTACACATACAAACAATAATTACGGACCGGATAACGCACCCACAAGTCTAGATGGTCTACAGTCGGTCTTCGATTTGCAAAATATCGATTGGTCCCCTCACAGTAATTCATAGAGGCACTTTTTGATGATTCAAAAATTAATGATATATCGGAAACTTTATATATATATTCTTTAATAACCCATTATTATACTTTAATCAAACAATATACTTTAATCCATTATTATACTTTAATCCATTATTATACTTTAATCAAACATTATTTTCTATTTTTTATTTATATTGAAACTATATTCTTAATAATTTAATTGATCATTAATACAAAACGCCGCCTAACTATATTATAATTTTAATAATAATACTCCACCAAACTCAAAATTTTAAATTTAAGCGGCAATTAGAAATGGTTATTCAATGCCACAGCACTCGATCTATATTTGTTTACAACGGTCATTTCAAGATAGCACATGGATAAGCATGCAGAAACTGCGTCAACAACGAGACGACCACCGTTTAAAATTACAGCTGATGGCGAATTCCCAAAATATGCAAAATTCTATTTATGAAATCAACAACGTCAATCTAAACAAAAAGTTATAAGATTATATAATGACAAATAAGAGAAACGTAGTGTTCCTAGAAAGATTCGGATGCAACATTATTCGACTTAAATAATGACATCACACTATGAATTTATCAAGCAATCAAACATTTTCACTCTAAGCAAAAAAACCAAGATCATTATAGTTTTTTTAAAACGACACAAAATCGAATGGATATTAATTCGAATAACGAATTAAAATCATCAACAGCAATCATTATTGCGACAAATGAATTTTTCCAATCTTTGTTTTTGATTATTTATTTATTTATTTATTTACAAAATTAGAATTTTAAAAGCATGTATATTATCGTTATACCGATTTTTTGTTCACGTACAACATTTCTCACGTCAAATTTAGTATACAAATCCATACACAGTGAGCATATAAGCTTTAAGCGATTTTTTTATTTATGATAAGGCTATTCATTATGGCAGTGATATTTAGTGGCTAACATTATTTGATCCTCACGCTAGATAAGATATTGCAACTAATCAAAAGGCTTAATTTTGTATTATCTTGAACTGTTTATCATAATTAAGATTTTATTAAATTAATTTGTCTCTTTAAATATGAAAGTAAAATAAAATTTTTTTGATAGCCTTACAATTACAGTTATCAATTATTAAAAGTCAGAGTCAGAATCAGATTATTAAAGTTTTAAATATTCTTTATAAAGTATCAAAAACTTAAAGTTAAATTAATAATTTCTTTTTAAAATTAATAGAAAATAAACTTTTTGTTTATTATTTAATTCAATTTAATTTAGTAGATAATATAGAAAAATAACTAATTTAATTATTTCTATAAAAATCGCTTTTTTATATCTCTAAATTGATTAATAAAACAAATTATATTATGATTTTTTAAAATTTTATTTTTAATTAATTAAAATTATTAATTTTTATTTTAATATAGTAATTATCAAAAATAATGAATATTTCAAACTATAGAATTTATTAATAAAATATAAATTTTCTTATTATTTTATAAATATATTATTTTTTAAGTAATATAAAATTCATACTATATATTTTTTAAAAAGTTATAAAAAATATAATTTCTTAGATTTATATATACTTACTAATATTTATTAAATAATATTAGTATTACTTTTTAATTAATTTTTTAAATTAAAAAAATTAATTTTAATAAATAATGAGAAAAATTCTAT